CCGGTCTCTGAAAAGCAATGGAAAAAATATCCTCGGGTGAGGATTATAAATACATAAATAAATAAAATAAATACAGAAATTTTGTTTGGGGTGGGCACTCACTTCAGACAGGGTCCTTCAAGTGACCTTTTCCTTATATTAGTGAAGGAAAGCATTTTCCCGAAGCTCTTGCAAAGTTCCCTTTGTCTCATTTATCACAATTGGACCTGGTTTAGCTGCAAGGAACTAGGAAAGCAAGAATCTGGCAAAAATAAATAGGGTGATGACTGGTTTATGGCATTGGTTCTCAAGGTAGGGTAGTGGGATGTTTGTATCAACTTCTGTTAGGTAGCATGTGGAGAATATTACTGGCATTTAGTGGGCAGGGGCTCCGGGCACTAAACTTTCTGCCATGCTTGTGACAGTTCCAAAGAAGGTAGAATGTCTAGCCTTAAATGTCAGTAATAGCTCTATTGAGAAACACTGTCTTAGACTAATCTTAAATTCATTGTTGGGAATGCGTATATTACCACCCCAAACAAAATGGGGCCACGTAGAAAAATAAGAAATATAGTATGCTAAAAGGAAAAGAAATCAAATCCCTTAGATTACTTCTATTTATATTTTGATGCCTATCCTTGCTGATTTTTTATTTTTTAAATATTCAAAAATATAAATATTTACATTCAAAATCTATTTCAACAAAATATCTTAATATTTCAAGAGTATATAGTTTGTTTCTCTTATGCAGTTTTTCCTCCATTTTTTATACTTTCTGCCTTGGGTAATGTCAAATAACTTGTAACTGAATTTTGAATGAGCTAAATAAATGGTATTTGAGCAAGTTTTGGGCCATAGGTACAGTTTTGATGATGGGTGATTTGAATTTTCCAAAATAAAGTTTTAACACACACACACACACACACACACACACACACCCCTCTCACACACCACCCAGCTTCAACAATTAACAATTAATGGATAGTCTTCTTTTGTCCAAACTTCCCAATTATTTTGAAGTGAACCTCAGGTATCACATTATCATTTTAGTAGATATTTTGAAATATGTTTCTAAAAAATGAAAAGAATTACTTTTTAAAATCAAAATTGATTTAAATAATATAACTACACCTTTAAAAATAAGCTAATTCCATAATATCAGATATTCCCTTAGTGTTCAAACTCCTTAAACATAATTTTCTATACTGTTGTTTTTGTTTTTTTAAATATGTTTTTATTGATTTCAGAGAGAGGAAGGGAGAAAGAGATAGAAACATCAAAGATGAGAGAGAATAATCATTTGGCTGCCTCCGGCATGTTGCCCTGACTGGAACTGAACCGTGATCTCCTGGTTCATGGGTCAACACTCAACCACTGAGCCATGCCGGCTGGGCTCTATACTGTTTTTTGTTTGTTTGTTTTTATCAANGGTTCATGGGTCAACACTCAACCACTGAGCCATGCCGGCTGGGCTCTATACTGTTTTTTGTTTGTTTGTTTGTTTGTTTTTATCAATTTTTTTAAAAAAAAATATCTTTATTGATTTCAGATAGAGGAAAGGAGAGGGAGAGAGAGATAGAAACATCAATAATGAGAGGGTCATTGATCGTCTGCCTGCCCGCAACCCAGGCATGTGTCCTGACTGGGAATCGAACCCCGATCACCTGGATCCTAGGTTGAGGCTCAACCGCTGAGCTATGCCCAGTTGGGCTATACTGTTTTTTTAAATTAAGATTTATATATAGCATTAGTTGGTATGTGTCTTAAGTCTCTTTTAATCTAAAGGTTATTCCCCTATGTCTTTTTTCTTGCAATATTTCTTGATAATTATTTTTAAAAGCTGGTTGTTGGTTTTATTTCTCAGGTTGTACTTTCATGGCTATTCTTAATCTTTTATGAAAGTGATTAGTGTGAACTTTCAAATTAGGGTATAATTTACATTCAATTTACATACACAGATTTTAAATGTTTGGTTAATGAATTATATACATCAATGTATCCACCACCCAAAGAACCAACAGCCAACCTTGATCTCAGGCTTCTGGCCTACAGAATGAAGACAGGAAATTTCTGTTGTTTAAGCCAAAAGAGAAAAAATTCCTTTCATTTTTTAGATTCTGAAGTTGAGAGTAACTGAAACAGGGTGGAACAAAAAATTATTGATTGCTATTAGAACTATAAAGATTTCTGCTTTTCAGCAGCCAGATGAGTGAATTAATAAAATTGGGGTTTGGAAAATACTACATGCTAGCTGAGGGATATGTGTAACACGTTAAGAACTATAGGTGAGAAGTGTAAATGCATTGCATTGGAATTTATATCATTACAAAAAAGCTGTGGCTGTGTGGTTATTCTTCTGAATTACATGTACCCTTCCCTGCAACTTCCCTCTCTGCTTCAATTTCAAGCAGTATACTTCATTTCCTCTAAATTATTTAAAGTCAGGAGGATCATGTGGTTATTGACTCTAAGAAAGAGTTAACTGCAGTTGAGGCACATAAGTGTCTTGAATAATGTTACTTTACAGACATTAGCCATCATGGTTCTTTGAATTTATTATTGCACTTAACTGTAGGAACTTGATTAATTAACTTGTATTTTCTTAGATTAGTGCATTGACCTTAGTTAGATACCAATAGGAAGGTAGAATGGTAGTTACTAAGACTTACTGAGTGGCTACTACGTGAAGAATCATCTTAAATACAAAGTGGTGGAGGTGATCTTAACTACTAAGTGATGGGAGTGATGACAGCCATTTTGTACGTAGCCTCCTTCAGAAAAGAGAATGAAAGTTCCAGTGATTTGCCCAAGGCCATATAGCTGGTGACTACAAAGAACAGGGACTTAAACCCTGAATTTTTACTCTAGAACTCTTAAAAAGTTTTCGTGACTATATGCTCTCTTCATGAATATTAGAAACCTAAGCAGTAATAACTTTGCCCTTTGCAATTCCTGCTTATGTGTACATGAAAAAACAATAATTTAAAACATAAAATTATGTTGGATCCAATTGTGATAAATTTTCTCTATGAAAATGCAAGTCTCAAGATGTTTCAAGAGAAAATTTTGTACTAAAAAATCAGTAGAGCAAAATAATTTAGTCCCTGTGGTGTAATATAAGGACATTAGACCAGTATTTTTGTTTTTAAAGATAATAGGAAAATAGTTTATTAAATTATCTTTAGATATTTCATGATGTATTACTTTCTTATAAATTTACTTTCTTAAATTTCTTAAATTTCTAGTTCTTCATTGAATTTGTAGTTTAATTTTTAAAATGAAAAGTTTCCATTTTTCATTTTATGAAAAATTTATTTTAAAAGCTTTTCCCAAAATAACATTAACATACATTTTTTTATAGAGGTGATATTTTTTATGCCTTTTAAAAACTGTTTACTTACATTCAGATTTAGATATGCTTTAGATTTAGTTTCTAATTTGAAAAAAAAATGACTTCTATGACTTATTATTTCTACTCTTTTTTTCAAATCTTGAGAACACTTAATCTCCTGAATTTTAGTTTTTCTTTGGGTGTTCTATTTTTTAAATTTTTATATATATTTTTAAAATATGCTTTTATTGATTTCAGAGTGAGGAAGGAAGAGGGAGAGATAGAAACATCAATGATGAGAGAGAGTCATTGATCAGCTGCCTCCTGCACGTCCCCTACTGGGGATCGAGCCTGCAGCCTGGGTATGTGCCCTGACTGGGAATCAAACCATGACCTCCTGGTTCATAGGTCGATGCTCAGTCACTGAGCCATGCTGGCTGGGCTGGGTATTCTATTTTTTAAACAAATTCTGACTTTAAATACTTTAATCCAATGTTGCATATATCAAGCTCGTTACTAGACTTTTTTTCCCAGCTAAGGTCCTGCCCCTCCCAAAATAATCATTTTGGATTGTTTAAGAAAATCAACCTTCTTGTAGACAGACTTGCCATATTAAGAAAAATGTAGTTGCCTTTTCTTGGTTTCATTGAGCTTTTATATTCTTAAAAGAAATATTTCAGAAAGAAGATGATGGTTTTCTCTAATAGAAGTACATATTGCTTCTTGAAAGGCTTTTTTATGTAAAGTTGGTTGGGTAAGACAACTGGAACAACCAGTTAAGCTCATTCCTTCTGTGCTTATTATTAACTTCAAAGCTCCTAGTTTTAACCTCTGGTTCAGTCCCATCTTACTAGATTTAAGTGGCTTTTGTTTTGTTTTTTTTTTCATGCAGGTTCTGCTCATTAATCACCACGAGTGTGGATCTGAAGAAGAGTTTATTACTTCTCTTTTTTTGAGTATGTTTAACTTCAGATACACACAACGTAGCCTCTCCTTCCCTATTAGATTCTTAGAAGGTAGTTATATTTTTATAGTCTCCTTCTTGTGACTTTGATAGTTGTGATCAATAAGAATAAACACTTATTCCTTACATGTTGGACTACTGCATGCAAATCAGTTCATTTAAAACCTCCTGGAGGTCTTTGGCATGCTAGACATAAAACCATGAGTGTTTGTTTGTGGAGGTAACTGTGTTCCAAAGAAATTTAAGAGTTTATTTCTTTTCTCAAGAAAGTAGGAGAATTATCCTTTAGGTTCTGGGAATCACTGGCTTTTAAGGGGCTTGCTTTTGGTGTGTGATTTTCAAAATTAATTAAATGGGAAATGATAAGCTAAAAATATTCTTGTGGTATCTCTGAGTGAGTAGTATAAAGAGATTAGTTTGCACTGTACCTATTGTATGCTTAACAAAATAGCTGATTTATCTTGTCATTAGTTAAACATTAATGAGCATATATTTTTTTCATGTTTGCTATTTTTAGACACATTGATATATTTTTCTTGTACATGGATCTGATGAATGAAATGTACATAAAATTTATTCTTTTCTTTTTTAATATCTAGGGCTGGAAAAAAGAAAGAATTCTGGCTGAATATCCAGATGGCAGGATAATAATGGTTCTTCCTGAAGACCCAAAGTATGCCCTGAAAAAGGTAAATTTCTAGTGAAATTTCATGTAGAATGGATAAAATAATTTTGCATCTGATTTTAAGAGACTGTTTAAACACCAATTCCGAAAACAAGAAATAAGCATTTAAAGAATACAACTCAACTGAAAAATTATGGTTAAACTTCATAGTGTGTAATTGGGAAATAAATTTTTAGTGACTTGATTACTCTTCTGTATTATCAATAATTTGAGTGATGATATAGAAAGCATGCTAGTTAGTTAATAATACCACATTAATGGTTATAAGAATCAGGATTAAAATTGAAATTTGAATCATAATAATTTAGGAAATTAGAAATTAATAAATAAAATTTCTGAGAATAGTTTCTAAATAAAAACTTATTGCAGAAAGTGATCTGATAGTAGGTTTTAGTAATCCTGAAATTAAGCATGAGGTAGTCATATTAGTTAAGAGAAAAAAAGATCGCCCAGTCGGGCATGGCTCAGCGGTTGAGTGTCGACCTAGGAACCAGGCAATCGGGGTTCGATTCCCGGTCCGGGCACATGCCCGGGTTGCAGGCTGCAGCTGATCAATGACTCTCTCATCGTTGATGTTTCTATCTCTTTCCCTCTCCCTTCCTCTCTCTCTGAAATCAATAAAGATATATTAAAAAAAAAAAGGTACATTCTGATCTATAAATACAGAGTGGTACAAAAGTAGGTTTATAGTTGTGAGTATGCGAAGCACAGAGTTTATTCTTGTATTATTAATTGTATATTCTGTATGAACAACTGTGAACCTACTTTTGCCCCCATCCTGTATAATGTAGAAAACTCAAAGAAAATCCTCATATCTAGTGTAAGCCAAATTTTAGTGCAACTTAGAATTTTTTACTTTAAGGATTCAAAGAAATGAACCAGAGAAATAATGAAATCTGGAACCATTTTATTATATAGAGTATCTTACAAGTCAGGAAACCATGAGATAAACTTGTTTTTAAATAACATGTTAATTACATTTCAGATAATGTGTTCAAAATGTTTTCTTCAATGTCCAGATGCTTTTTCAGAATTGCCTCATAATGTAAAGCAATGAGTCCAGTTGTGTATCTGAAAAGCTTAATTACACTACACTGTGTCAAAAATTTCTGAAAATAAAAGGAAAATAATATACTTTTTTAAAGTTAACTTCTTTAAATTAGGAATACTTCACCTGAAAGAGGGGTCGAAGGAAAATACTTTGAACCTGTTATTTGAAAATATAGCTAACATTCTACTTAAAGTTTATTCTGTGGTTCCTTACTTTTCAGATAACACTGTATATATTATTAGACAATCCTAGATACCCAAATAAACTTCCGTTCTCCCACTGCCTAACAAATATAGACTAGCACTTATTTTTTTCTCTTTTTTTTTCCTTTTCTACTCTTCACCCGAGGATATTTTTTCCATAGCTTTTCAGAGAGAATAGAAAGAAGAGAGAGAAACACACACACTGGTTGCCTTCCACACTCACTTGACTGGGGTGGGGATCGAGCCTGCAACCAAGGCATGTGCCATTGACTGGAATCAAACCCAGAACCCTTCTGTTTGTAGGCCAATGCTCCAACCACTAAGCCAAAACTGTCCAGGACTAAATTAGCATTTAGAATTACATGTAAATGTGCCACCAGTCTTGTATTTAAGACATTGATCCTGAGGGAGGGCGACAGGAGGCAGGGAAGCAGAAGCAGGCAGTGGGGGATGGGGCCAGTGGGGAAGGTAGAATCGATATCCTCCACCCATATTGGTCCTCTTGGTGCTGCCAACTTCAGGGGTGGCTTCCAGAGGCCTTTTCTGTGAGTCTGGTGGGTCCAGGTCTATGGGAACCCCAGTGTGGGTCCGTCCCGTTCTGCAGGATGGGAGGTGCTGCCGCTGCTGTGGGGAGAAGGTTCTCCCTTTTGTTTTTGCTTTTTCACTCTTTGTTTTGTTTTGTTTTGGAGTTTCTTAAGGTTTGGTGGTTTTTTTAATCGGACCAATGAAAATCTCTGAGAAAAATAAAAAAACATTGATCTTTGCACGAAAACAAACACATGTTGGATTAGTGATTGACTCAATGAGAATTAAATTATGGAATTTTTGGAATTCCAACTATGATCATTTGGAAACATACAGTGGGAATTTTGCTAAATCACTATATGTGGTATCCAGACGTTCTTTATTAGTAAGAATCCGCAGTAAATGCCAGTTTCCTCATTTAGTTTCTTAGGGCAGATCTTAACCTACAATTCAGTGTGTTACTAGTTAGTAACCCATAATAGGTTAAAGTTAAAATCTAGAATATTGTGAGTCATTTACCTTTAGGAATCAAATCAGGAGTTGTATTGTAGGATACTGTTCCAGGAATAGGATTTGAGTCTTCATCACTGAATAAGGGATGTATTACATGATATTTTCTGCATGTCAGAGATATATATACTTAACCTTCTTTTTTTTTTGCATTTTAAATTTAGTAACATAAATCCATGTTTATTGGGCTGAATATTTGCAGATTATTTTATAACTGGAGAAGGAACTAATGTTTAATTGCCTACAAAAATCTCTATTTTGACTACCTGCAAAAGTTTGCGCTTATCATTGACTTTGATTACAGTTCTAGGAGGTAAACTAGAAGAAGCACAGTTTGATTCCATATTAATAGTAGGGGTTCAAATCCTTGCTGCTTGGTTTTCTAGATGTCCAGTATCTCACATGGGAAAGTTGCTTAATTTTGAATTTTATTGCTTCCATATGTAAAGTGAGAAACCATAGACCTCCAAGAGATGTTGGATTTAAGTGCGATAATATTCATAAGGTGCTTTGTGTAATGTCTGACCTATAAATGGTTGATAAGGAGTAAACGTGTTTCTTTCCTCTGTGCCCACTTCGCTTTACAGATGAGAGTACTGGTTAAGGCTTGGAAAGAAAAGTGGCTTCCCTGGCTAACATTCCAATGAAGTTCTCTCCGTAATGCTTCTAATAGGAAGTCTTAATGTTCTTATTGCCTATTGTAGGACCTCTCACTTCTCTTGTTCCCTAGACTGCTGGGCTTAGTTAGCATCACTCTGCAATTCTTCCCTCATTTTGCAAATTGGTCTACAGCTCTTGAAAAAGTTATTGGTAGCACAGTCATTCAAAAGAACTCATTAGAGCAGGGGTGGGGAACCTTTTTTCTGCTAAGGGACATTTGAATATAACATCATTCGAGGGCCATACAAAATTACCAACTTAAAAATTAGCTGTCAAAAAAGCTCCTAGATTTATTGAATTTCAAAGTCCCGCCTGTGGTTGCCTTGGCAGGGCCTTATGGCCTGCGGCCTGGATATTCCCCACCCCTGCATTAGAGGATGTCCTTGGAATGATATACTCAACCTAATTGAATTGAAATTGTATATATATTTTTATTTTTTCTATGAAATTGTATATTTTTACATATACATAATGCTTTCATTATTTTTTTAAAAAAATACTGTTCTTTATTTGGCAGGTTGACGAAATTAGAGAGATGGTTGATAATGATTTAGGTTTCCAACAGGCTCCACTAATGTGCTATTCCAGAACTAAAACACTTCTCTTTATTTCTAATGACAAAAAAGTAGTTGGCTGCCTAATTGCAGAACATATCCAATGGGTAAGTGATTTTTTTTTATTTTTTAGAGTGTTTATATGTGGTTTGGTGTTTTAAAGAGTTATACCTTCAACAACATAATCCTAGTAAATTTATCAACATTTAATGTAAGGAAGAGTGTGAATGCAAGAATTCCTGTGTATAATTCTTTACAACAGTAGAGCTCTATTTTCAATAGGTATTAGTTTCTCAAGTTAGTATGTAAGATACAAATTCTATAAATCAAAAGTATTCTTAAATTTTATTTAGGAAGTTTTCATGTTGGATACTAATATAATGTAATGTCTCAGTCCCTTCAGCATTGAAATAAATAGAGTTGACAAACTATAACTCTAGGTGAAAATCTAGCCTGTTTTTGTAAATAAACTTTTATTGTAACACAGCCATGCCCATTTGCTTGCATATTGTCTGTGGTTTCTTTCAAAGTTTGAGTTAAGTGGTTACAACAGAGACAAGGCGGGCTACAAAGTTTAAATATCTGGCCTTTTTTTTTTTTTTTAATTTTTTATTTCAGAGAGAGGAAGGGAAAGGGAGAGAGAGAAACCAGTGATGAGAGAGAATCATACGTCGGCTGCCTCCTGCATGCCCCTTACTGGAGATCGAGCCTGCATCCCAGGCATGTGCCCTGACTGGGAATCAACCATGACCTCCTGGTTCATAGGTCAACGCTCAACCACTGAGCCACACCGGCTGGGCAAATATCTGGCCTTTTATTAAAAGCTGCCCATCTCCAGAATAGGTCACCACTTCTTTAGATGAGCTCTAGATGAGGAGTTGACTTGCATTTAGGATCCAAGTTGTACAAAACAAACAAGCAATAGAATCACAGTAAAAGGGGTACGTTCACATTATAAGAGTTAAGTAGAAACAGACTTACTTAGAGAACAGAAAATTCTGAACTCCCTAATTATGCTCACTTTGAGTCATACCCCATTTGAATTCTGTCTTTTTTTCAGCTGAGTTCTTGATGTTGAATCCAATACTCATTGGATTTGACTTATATTCAGTTGGTATCTTCTAGTATACTAATAGTTGCCTGCAAATGTGTACTTCATCATGAAATTTTCTACTAAAAAGTCAAAATAAGCCTGGCCGGCACGGCTCAGTGGTTAAGCATTGACCTATGAAGGAGAAGATCATGGTTCGATTCCCAGTCACGGCACATGCTGGGGTTTCAGACTCGATCCCTAGTAGGGAGCATGGAGGAGGCAGCTGATCAGTGATTCTCATCATTGATTTTTCTCTCTCCCCCCCTCCCTCTCTCTGAGATCAGTTTAAAAAAAAAGTCTGTGTGAGTTAATTTCTATTAATTTCTAATAGTCTGTGAAGCCATTTTTAAAAAGAAAATTTGGCCTGAAATTTTGTAGTTTTATGAATCTTGCTATTTATAATAACAAAATTGATTTAAATGAATAGCTGATAGGGGAGTTTGGGAATATAAATTTGGTAAAAAATGACTAATGAAAGTTTGCCATATTGAAATTGAGTTAATTTTACATTGTGCAAAAAACCCTTGTTTTTTTTCCCTATCTTACCTAGTTCCAAAAATGACTTTTAGAAGTGTTTATACTAGAAGATAGCTATATAATGCTTGCTTTTTGTGTTGTTAATTCTTAATTGTATTGTCTAATTGTTTTAAGTTTAATACTATGTCCCAACAGAAGGCAGGCTGTGTCTTTTTTGCATCTAGACTGGTGGAGAAGATGTATGTTTTTTAAATTACTTGATTTTTTTAAAAAAGAGATGGGCATTTGGGGAAAGGACCTTTCTAAATTCTTGGTTACTCTGCCTTCCCTAGTCCTAGTTCCCACACAACTTTGAACCCTAGACTGCTGAGTTCTTAATATGTATGTTTTTGCTGGTCCTTAGAATGTGGGAGGTAGAGAAAACTAACATTCAGTTCCTATTATGGGTCAACCATGATGGCAAGGTACTTTGTATATATTACCTTATTCAGTTTCTCAATAATTCTCTGAAAGAAATGAGTATTTCCAATTTATAGATAAGGAACCCAAAGCTTAATTAAGTTGACTTCCTCTCATGGTCATGTAACTAGTAAATGAATTAGAACAGAATGTAGATCCATATCTATTTCCTAAAATGAGAATGAAAGTATAAATGGTCCCCGTAAGTTGTTAAGAAACCAGACAAATGTAGTGGCCCCCTAACTAAGGTCAGTACTAGACAATTGCTAAGTAATATTCTCACTTTAAAATTTTTTCCAATTTTGGTACCTATAGGGCTACAGAGTTATAGAAGAGAAACTTCCAGTGATCAGGTCAGAAGAAGAAAAAGTCAGATTTGAAAGGCAAAAGGCCTGGTGCTGCTCAACATTGCCAGAGCCTGCAATTTGTGGAATCAGTCGAATATGGGTATTCAGCATGATGCGTCGGAAGAAAATTGCTTCTCGCATGATTGAATGCCTAAGGTAACTTGAATGTAATCCTTCAAATTCTTTTCAGTACTTTAGGATTTAACCAGAGTTTTAGTATAAAGATTGGCATTTTATTATTAAATGTATAACCTTTATATTAATTTAAATTTGCATAAAATTGTCTGTATTGGATCTGTTAGTACTTTTTTTTTAAATCCTCACCCAAGGATATTTTTTCCATTGCTTTTTCAGAGAGAGTGGAAGGGAGAGAGAGAGAAAAAACATCGAAGTGAGATGTGAGAGAGAGACATCAATTGGCTGCCTCCCGTACACGCCCCAACCGGGGCTGAGCCTGCAACTGAGGTATGTGCCCTTGGTTGGAATCAAACCCTGGACTCTTCAGTTCGTGGGCTGATGCTCTAACCACTGAGCCAAACAGGCTAGGGTTGTTGGTACTTTTTATGTGAAGTTAATCTGAGAGGGAAGAGAAAAAGCAGTGTTGGTCAAATATTAAACCATTTAAAATTACTTGTTTGTAACTATGATTAAGTCAAAATGACCCATTTATTTCAAATTCTGTTTAATATTGGAGAATTTTAAAGACAACCAAAATAAATGTGGGAAGTTTCTTAGGAATTTAGCTTTTATGAAAAATGCCTTAATTTAATAATATTATTTATAAATTAAGCATTTTATTAGTTTTTCTTCTGCTTTTATCACTTGATTTTAAATTAAAAGTATTGAGGAAAAGACTCAGATAAATTACATGTTTTTTGTTGTTCAAAGAACCTTTACCAAAGGATTAATGTAGGAGATTAAAATTATTCATGCAAATGACGTTTTTAGATCAGTCTCTTAATTTTGTTTATTCATAGAATCCCTGTCTACTATCTAGTGGTATAGTTTTCAAAATAATCCATCATTGTTTTAAGTGAGATTCTAAAGCTCTGGAATTTTAAAGCCTTTATGTATTTCTGGTCTCCCCCTTATTTTATCACTGAGTAATGATTCAGAAGGGCTCAGATCTAGCCACCCTTTTCATGACAAGAGGCAGGTCTGTTTTTAGACCTAAACCTAGAAAATGCAGCTGATTAAATAATAGTCCTAAATAAGGGTATTGTAAAACCTAGGTATAATGACAGTCATAACATTGTTTTAGTTTATAGTGAAATCGGCACCATAAGCTTCCTATTAAAAGCACATCGAGTTTTTATTTTCTTCATTTATTGATCCTTCTTATGTACCCAGCTCACCTTTTAAAATTATATTATGGCCCAGCAGGGCGTGGCTCAGCGGTTGAGCGTCGACCTAGGATCCAGGCCATCAGGGTTCTATTCCCGGTCCGGACACATGCCCGGGTTGCGGGCTTGATCAATGACTCTCTCATCATTGATGTTTCTGTCTCTCTCTCCTTGTCCTTTCCTCTCTCTGAAATCAATAAAGATATATTTAAAAAAATAAAAAATAATAAAAAAATAAAATATTATGAAAATGCTACTAATAGTCTATATCCTGGTTATATTAAAAATAATTTTTAAAATGACATCTTTGAGATACAGTTACATAGCATAAAATTCACTTTTTTAAAGTATACAATTCAGTGGGTTTTAGTATATTTAGAAGGCTGTGCAACTGTCACCACTGTTTAATTTTAGGAAATTTTCATCATTCCCCAACAAAACTCCATACCCATTAATCACTTCTTATTTCCCCTTTCCCCGGCTTGTGGCAACTGCTAATCTGTTTTCTGTCTCAATGGATATGCCTGTTCTGAACATTTCATATTAATGAATATCTATAGCATGACCTTTTGTGACTAGTTTCTTTCACTTAACATTGTAGAACGTATCCAAGTGCATCATTCCTTTTTTATTGCCAAATAATATTCTACTGTGTGGCTGTACCACATATTATTTCTTCATTCATCAGTTTAATATTTGTGTTGTTTCCACCTTTCAGCTATTATAAGTAATAGCTGAACATTGATGAACAAATTTTTGCGTATTTTTTCTCTCTTGGTAAATAGAGAAATATTTCTATATTCTTACTTCTCTTGGTATATATCCAAGAGTAGAATTATTGGGCCATATGGTAACTATATAGCATTTTCAGAAATTGCAGAACTGTTTTCCAAACTGTCTGCTCTGTTCTACAATCCCACAAGCAATGTATGAGAGTCTAATTTCTCCACATCCTCGTGTACACTTGTTATTGTCTGTCTTTTTAATTTTAGCCATCCTGGTGTGTGTGAAGTGGTATTTCATTGTGGTTTTGCTTTTCATTTCCCTAATGCCTATGATGTTGAGCATCTTTTCATGTGCTTATTGACCATTTATGTATCTTCTTTAGAGAAATGCCTATTCAAATCTTATGTCCATTTTTAAATTGGTTTCTTAATCTTTTTCTTGTTTTTTTTTAAATCATTTTTTATTTTCAATTAAAGTTGACATACAGTATTGTATTACTTTCGGTTGTACACCCCAGAGATTAGACATTATAAAACTTACTAAATGATTATCCTGAAAAATCTCATAGCCATCTGGCACTATACATAGTTATTAGAATATTATTGACTATATTCCCTACACTGTACTTTACACCCTTATGACTATTCTGTAACTGGTAATTTGTACTTCTAAATCCCTCACTTTGTTCACTCATCGTCCCAAACCCCTTCCCATCTGGCAGTTGTCAAAATGTTCTCTGTATCTATGAATCTGTTTCTGTTCTGCTTGTATATTTTGATTTTTACATTCAGTTGTTGATAGATATGTATTTATTGCCATTTTGTTCATATTTTTAATCTTTTTTTCTTCTTAAAGAAGACCCTTTAACATTTCATGTAATACTGGTTTGGTGCTGATGAACTCTTTTAGCTTTTTCTTGTCTGGGAAGTTCTTTATCTGACCTTCAGTTCTAAATGACAGCTTTGCTGGGTAGAATAATCTTGGTTATAGGTCATTGCTTTTCATCACTTTGAATATTTCTGGCCACTTCCTTCTGGCCTGCATAGTTCCTGTTGAGAAATCAGCTGACAGTCTTATGGGACCTTTTCTCTTGCTGCTTTTAAGATTCTCTCTTTGTCTTTAACCTTTGGTATTTTGATTATGAGTCTTGGTGTGGGCCTTTTTGGGTTCATCTTGTTTGGGACTTTTGCATTTCCTGGATTTGTATGTATAGTTCTCGCACAAGGTAAGGGAAATTTTCTATCATTGTTTTTTCACATAGGTTTTTAATTCCTTGCTCTTTCTTTTCTCCTTCCGGCAGCCTTGTGTTGCAAATGTTGGTATACTTGAAGTTGTCCCAGAGGCTCCTTACAGCATCTTCATATCTTGGTTTTTTGGAGGTTTTTTATGCTGTTCTGATTGGGGTTTTTTTCCTCCCTCATATTCCATATTGCTGATTTGATTCTCGGCATCCTCTGCTCTGCTGTTGATTCCCTATAAATTATTCATTTCAGTTAGTGTATTCTTCATTTCTGACTGGCTCTTTTTTATGGTACCTATGTTCTTTTTCATGCTTTTGAAGTTCTCACTAAATTTCTTGAGCATTCTTATAACCATTGTTTTGAACTGTGTCTGGTAGTTTGCCTCCATTTCATTTAGTTCTTTTTCTTAAGATTTCTCCTTTTCTTACATTTGAGATGTTTCTTTGTCTCCGCATTTTGGCTGCTTCCTTGTGTTTGTGTCTGTGTATTAGGTAGAGCTGCTATGTCTCTTCCTGGACTTGGTAGAGTGGCTTTGTGTAGTGAGTGTCTTGTATGGCCTGGTGGCTTGCCTCCCCATCACTTGAGCTGGGCGCTTCAGGCACACCCGTGTGGGCTGTGTACACTATTCTGTTGTNCCCCGCCAATCAGCTGTGAGGACCAGCTGTGACTACAGTGGAGGAGCTGCTGTGCAGGAGTCAACCCTCTGTAGCAGGACTTGTTTCACTGGGGCTTTGGTGCTTACCGAGTCCATCCCTTGAGTGTGTTGCTTGTGGAGGTGGTAGGGTTATATATAATCTATTGTGGTTTGAAGCTTTCTACCAGGTACACTGGCTCTGGGGCCACCCAGGGAGGTGCAAAGTCAGCCACTGCCTGTGACCTGCCTGGGGCCACTTGGCACAAGCTACAGAGAAATCTGCAGATGGCTCTACTTATGTTAGGCTTTAAGATGCTAAGCATAGGCCAAGCTGTGAGCCAAGGTAGGCTACCAGTAATGCCGGGCCTGGGGCCATTTAGCAAGACATACAGTGTATATGGAAGCCAGATGCTGCTTGTTTGAGAGATTTTAGGGAAGTCTGAAGCATGTGGCAAGAGAGGCCAGTTTTATGGAAAAGCCACTGGAAATGGCTTGGATGAACCCACAAGTTAGGTAGGGCAGGGTCTTGGAATCACCAGAGCAGGGCGAACACTGTGAGCCAGGTTGATGGAGACTCAGGTATGGTGCCTGCCTGTCAGTTCTGTTAAGGGAGGGCTCAGCAAAGGATCAGTGGCCTCTGCCAGCACTTTTAATTTGGGTGATAGCACCCTCAGCTCTTACCCTAATGTTACACAATTTAGTTCCTCCCCATATGTCTCTGGTTCCATTCAAGCTGCTGCCCCAACACGGAAGCTCAGAAGGAGTGAGTTCGAGCAAGTCCATGGTGGGGCCCTTTGAGAGAAACTGCCTGGGACTCCAGCAGCCCTCTGTCCCACTCAGCCACAATCCCTGCTGGTTTTTACAGCCTGACTTCTCTTCTTGGCACTGGAATGCTGGGCTGGGGGCGTGGGGCTGGTCCCATCACTCCTCAGGGGAGATCTCTGCCGCCAAGATATCCCTCCTGATTATAAATTGCCACGTGTGGGTGTGGAACCAGCCTGTTCCACATCTCCTCCCCTCCTACCAGTTTCGATGTGGCTTCTCCTATAATTCCCTACTTGTAGGACTTCCATTTAGCTAGATTTTGGGCAGTTATGAATGATGGTTTTTATGAAGTTTAGTTGTATTTTTGATGTGGTTGTGGGAAGATTTGAGTACCATGTTTACCTGTGCTGCCATGTTGACTGGAAGCCGCCCTGTTGAGTTTTGATAGTTCTTTATATATATTCTGGAGACAAGCCCCTTATCAGATACATGATCTACAAATATTTTCTACCATTTCATGGTTGTTTTTTCATCTTGGTGGTGTCTTTTGAAGCACAAAATTTTTAATTTTGAATTCCAAATTATATATCTTTTCCTTTGTCACTTGTGTTTTTGGTGTCATATCTAAGAATCGTTTCCTAATCCAAGGCCACAAAAATCAGTTGCCTATATTTTCTTCCAAGAGTTTATAGTTTTAGCTCTTACATTTATATCTTTGATCCATTTTAATTTTTGTGTGTGATGTGATGTAGGATCCAACTTCATTCTTTTGCATGTGGATAACCAGTGGCAACAGACCTCATTTTTAATTAGACACTAGCCCTGGCTAGAGTCTCCAGTACATTGTTCTGAATGTAGAGGTGTTTGCAGAGATAGTCTTACCTTGTTCCTAATCTCTGGGGAACAATTTTCAGTCTTTCACCATTAATTTTGGTGTTCCTCACAGTTCTTTTTAAATTTGAAGAAGTTCTTTCCACTCAGAGTTGTTGAATATTTCTATCTTGAAAAGGTGTTGCAAAAATGTTTTTAAAACCATTGTTGCTTTCATAATTTTTTTACCTCAAATTATAATATTTTAGATGAATAGTTATTTTCCAGTTTTTAGCATATACAACATTACCTAAAAAATCTCTCTAGTCAAACTGTATTTGACAGGTTTTTCTAATTTTAATAATTAAAACTATTAATAAGTTTTTTTTACCCTTCTACTCCCCCACCCCTCTTTTTTTAAATAGGAGTAACTTTATATATGGCTCATATTTGAGTAAAGAAGAAATTGCTTTCTCAGATCCCACTCCTGATGGAAAACTGTTCGCAACACAGTACTGTGGCACCGGTCAATTTCTGGTATATAATTTTATTAATGGACAAAATAGCACCTAAAACAAGTTCTTGCCTACAGTACCAGAAGACATCTACGAAGAATGGATTGGTTGCAGACTTTAACCAGGAACTAGGGCCATTTTTGTTACAATGAACTCAGGACTGGCAACAACCTAAGGTTGTTCCATTTTCATAAACTTGGAAACAATGCAGTAATAGCTTATTAATGTTTGTTTTTTAAAGAAGATATTTTATTATCTTTTACAGAAATTTATGATTAATGTATTTTATCTAGAGTTATTTAGACATGTTTACATGCAGCAGATAATTGTTCATAGTGGACTGAAAACTAATGCAAGGACTATGGTCTCAGTGATAAGTATATTTTGAAGTTCTTAGTATGGAAATATACCAGTGTAGTTTGGTACTGTATTTTTTAAATATTGTTCTGCTGATACCAGTTATAGTTTTAAAGATTGTATTTTCACAGAGTGGAAGCCAGTATTTTTGAGCTATTGTTCAGGTAGGGTGCAATATTAAATGTTTTAGAATTCAAAGCTAATTCTTTATGGGCCTGAAATATACTTTGAAGGAACTGCCACCAAAAAGCAAAGCTCCAGATAAGCTGGAGGAATTTGGAATATTGAGCTTTTCCTTCCATTTCTCTCTTTCCCGTTCTTGATGGCAGAAAGAAGTGGAAGGTGGTAAAGGATTGAGTCTTTTCTTCTTGGAGACCTTTAAGTGACTAGAATTAGGAAAGTACCCTGTGAAGTTTATTATTATTTCATTCTGGTTTTACTTCTTAAATGGCAACTGGGCACACTTAGGCTGTTAACAAAACTCCAAAGAGGTTTATAAAAACCTGTGGAATGGTTGCAAACTAAATATTAGTGACTTGGTATCTGCTTTGTTATTCCTCAGAAATACTACACTGAGTATATGCCCTCATCACTGGACTTCATTCTGATACTTGTCAATCCTTCATAGTTCCCTCTACTTTTAAAGGGTTTATATGTTGAAAAACTGCTGTGGCCTTTTATGACTTGTATATAATGTAGAATAAAATAATAAAATACTTGATAGCTTTTTCTAAGTGATAAATGAATGGTGTGTTGTCATTTGTGGTTTTTCAGGGAGTTTTAAGTTTGATACCTTGAAAATAATTAAAACACTACCTTCTTAAAAGGTAGTTTTCACTTTTTGCCAAAAGATTAATCAGTATGTCATCAACAACTCCTCTGAACTTTATCTCTAATCCTGATATGAGAATATAAAGAGCCACAGCCCAGGAATGAAGCACTACTATGATTTAACATAGATTATTTTTATGAGCTGAAATTATATCTCCATTAAAAAATGGCTAAAATTTTGGGCCTTAAGTTAAGACTTAAAAGACAGATGTATGTTTTATCCCTCTACAGATGTATGCTTTTTAAATTTAGAGAGTGGTATAAGGCTCTGTACTTGTTAGGGGTTTAACAATAAAGCAGTATAAATATTTTCCTCTGACTCATCATGATGGTCTGAACTTTGACACTCCCTTTCCCTTTGGGCTTGAGACTCTTGTATTTATGCTTGGTATCATTGTTTGCCTGACAGGGACCATAATTATTTTAAAACAGGATGAAATTTTGGGGTATAGTGTAGCTGCTCTAGTAACTGTTAATCTCATAATACAGTTCCAATTTCCATACAAGCCATAGTATGCTGCTTAGGGGAGCCAAATTTGGTAGTTTCAAGGAGACCTGGGGATAGAGAGGATACATTGATTGGTTGGTTACCAGTTACTAGGAAAGCAGTTTATTTTCATGTTTATATTGAAGACATTGTCCCTCAAATAACTTACAGTCTAGGTATTTTTTTAAGAATAGTATTAATAGTATCTAACATTTGAGTTTTTGCTATGTTTCACACTCTGTGTATGGTACCGCATTATTTTATTTCATTATCTTGATAGTGCTATGAGGTAGAGTTTACAGGTAAGGAATCTGGAACTTGGAATGTAATTAAGAGACTACTATAGCAGTCTGTTTGAAAAGTTTTGAAACACTAAAACTAATGCTGTGATGTATGGGATGAAGATGAGAGGAGATGGATAAACTTTAGAGACGATACAGTGGAAGAATTGGTGCGAGTTGATAACTGACCAGAGAAGAGTCATACTAAAGAATTATGTTGGGAGGATTGGATGAGGGAGGATGAACTCAATTTTGGTAAAGATTTTAAGGTGGTTGGATGTTCTCCAAGTGGAGATAACCTATTTGGTATATAGTTGGATATGCTCATCTAGAGTTTAGGAGAAGGTTGAATTAAGGAAATTTATGAATTTAGTTATTTGAAGGTTTAAAAGAGCTCCCCACCCTGGGGTGTATAAAATGAAAGGGTAGAAGAAAGTTGTGAAGAAACCATCATTTAAAAGTCTCAAAGTACTTGAGAAGGCATGCCTGAGGTAAGAGAACCAGAAGAGAGTGATTGAAACCGAAGGAAGAGTTTCAAGAATCAAAGAATGGTCAACACTGTCACATCACAATTGAAGACTGACAAGTCACCTTAGAAAAAGAAGAGTGATCTACAGAGTAGCGGAGGCAGTACTGGACACAGTGAGTATGCACAAATGGCCACAGTTAAACTTCAAAAGAGGTTGATTCTTTAATTGCTGGTTATATAAAGGTGTCTTTAAATTTTGTCAGCTGCCCTTGAGTAGTTGGTTCATTATAAAAATGACTAGTATATAGACATTATAGGAACCACAAGCATAGACAGGGATTTTATATGGAGTATGTTCTTGTCTGCATGGACATGCAATGATTTTATTTTGTGTGAATTATAAAAATCACTATTTTACCTGTTCATAATATAAAATAGTGAACTTGGTGTATCTACTAAAAGCATGACTATCATAAAGACAGTAAGTACAGTAGACATGCAGTAATGTTTTAATTATTCTTGCTGACTTTGCATGGCTTCCCAGGTATTGCATTTGGATAGGAACTCAGCCATATTACTGCCTAGTCATAATTCACCAGGGTTTAAGATTACTGAGTTAATGTTTGGAGTAGTGACTATAGACATAGTTATCTATCTATTCTCATGCTCTTGAGCCTTCTGGGGGATAAAGGGAAGATTCTTACAACAGAATTTCCCTCTACTTTCTAGTAAAAATAAAATATTGGACTACTTATAGAACAAAGAAGTGGTCAGAACAGTTTTTGTTGTTGCTTTTTCTTCCTTATATAACTTATTCCAACTTTTCTCATAGTCATTGAAGTAGATACTTTCCTTAGCTAAATATGTGACAGTTGAGAGCACAAGGAATTTATTGTGTGAATGGTTTTTTCTGGGCCTCAGAGACCTGTTCTAGAATCATCTTTAGTGATGGGTTTTTCAATGAAGCCAGGGTTTCAGTGTTACAGCAACATTCCCTTAGACCCAGAGGAAGCTTAAGGGTCAGTCTCCATGACTGAAGAGAGTTCTGAGGAATGTTTATTCTCTGGATGTTGTTCCACATCTAGGTTACTCAATTCAAAGGTATGACAGAACTAAACAGCTTTTAGTCTTTCCAAGGCAACTGCTTTGGAATATGTAGTAGAACGCTGGCAATTTCTACTTGCTCCTGAATTTGTCATCATACTTACAAATATTTATTGTCCTCCCAAGGTAACGGGTCTTTGCCGTAGGAGAGTGTTTTCATGGTTCTATATCAAAGTCTTATTATTTTAACAGTCTGTAGAACTGAAAGGCATTTTTCTGGAATAACAGTTACTCTCCAAAGTTGGTAAAATTAGGTAGAGTTTAGAAATAAATTGGAGATTAATACCTTAGTCATACTATACAGTTCTCCCAACCCAAAGTTCTGCTAAGAAGGACAGCAAGGTGAGTACAGGTGCCATCTATAAAATGAAAGATTGGGGATAGGTGTACACTGAATATTTCTAACATCCCTTGAATGATCATATATAGATCTGTCTTCCATAATTATGTGGAATTCTGCAAATGGGCTTGGTGTGTAGACACTTATTTAGCACTTTGATGGACTGTTATGCCAGGATAGTGGAATCTTAAAGAGTCATCCAACCTGTGATACGTGGACTTCCAGCTGTTCTTGGGCATTGTGAAAGTCAGGGAGCTCATTCTATTTGTTAATATACCAGAAAGTTAATTTAAAGACGACAGACTTTTATTTTGGGTGTGAGAGAATTTTAATACATTCACCAAATTAAATGGAAGGACAGGAACATACTGTAGACACGACTTAAGACAATTTAAAATCATAAACAAAATGTGAGGTAGACTGACTAGTGAAATTCACCAAATTTTTGGTTAAAATTTTACAGTAATAAAGTTAACACAGGTGCTTTTCTAAAAAAAAAAATCACAAAAAGCAATTGCATAAATTACAGCCAAAAAAACTGAATACAACAACTCTTGTTCTAATTTTAGTTTACATTCAGTATTAACCTGTATGAACTGTCATGGTTCTATAGGTCTGTAGGTTAATTAGGGAGGCCTAGAGAACACATTCATACCACAATGTTCTAAGGAATGGCAAGGCTCGAAGCTGAACACACCAAGGTATGTATTAACAAATCATGGTGTCCTGTGCTTGTGCAATTTTATCCTTAAAGGAGAAGGACCTAACTTTCTCTAAAGAATTATACTGATAAGGTGATTTTAAGATTCAAACCTCAGTAAGATAGGCATTGAAAAGAATCGGCAGGTCAACTTGAATTGTCTATCATTGGGGTGATGATCTTTTGGCTTTATTCTGGTATTTCTCTTCCACAGGGTTAAATAGTATTTATAATCACTTGATGTTTCAGAGTGCAGCCCTAACTAATATGGAGTACCTGCACTAAAGTAACTACTTTTAAAAATCTTATTTAGACTATGAAGCCATAAAGCCAGAAGAAACCCTGAGAGGCCATCTGCCCCAGGTACAACTGTTTTAGAATTATTTCAAGTATTTTATTTGCCCTATATAGTAACATTATTGGAATATTGCACAAATAGTGGGTTTCTTGATATCACCTGCATTAGGCCCTTTCAACCAAACAGGAACATTTGAAATACATTCATATCTAAATTAACCTGCTTCAAAAACGTACCTCTGCCAAAAATTCTGTAGTACTAAATTTAAGGAGTATTTTTAAAGCATATATAAGGCAGACCAGATCCTCTTTGAAGGACAATTAAAAATGGGGCTTAAAAGAATTGTTCATTCAAAATATAGTTAAAGCATCATAAGTAGCTATATTAAAACCAAGAGATCTGCAAACCATTTTTAGATTAGTACATTCCATCTTTTCACTAGCTGTAAACTCCTTGTTATCACAAGCTAATAAAACTGGTCAATTAACACTATTTGTTCTAAGTAAATGCAGGCTTAGTAGACCCCCTCTCAGTAGTTTCAGGCCACAAATAAGATACCTGATTCAAGTAAAAATGGCCATTTTAAGGGGATAAAGTGGTACATATGGGCTAATAAGAAAAATGCCAAGAGATTGTGTGATGAGAATTGGAGTAATTTGAGAGTTAACTTCCAATAGACTTAGTTGTAGAACATTTGCTAAAATCTGTTTTTGCTTTTAAAATAATGGTGAGAAATGTATAGAAACTTACGCCGCCTACTATTGATACTCAACACCCCTTGCTGGTTTTAATGAGTTAAAGACCTTTTCATGGACTCGTCCTTACTCCTTACAAAAGAATCACTGGTAGGAATAAGTAAAGCCAGTTCTGCCTCTTTCTGTGACCTCATTTCCCATTTCAGCAATTTCTGTGTTGTGGTCAGTATAGACAGCTAAAATATTCATTAAGTGTATTTTTTAAAGGAAGCTTTGAGTCCCTGAAAGGAAACAAACTAATGCCACAGAACCTTTGCCTGACATTTAGCTTTGCTGGTGCCAACTGCTTAATTCCAACCAAGTAGGGTGGGTATGGGGTGACTGCTAAAAGCTTCTTAATAGGCTCAACTACTGAATCAGGTTCTCCTTGTACAAGATTAATCACTCTTCCATATTCTCATAGACATGGTGTGCTTGGAGATTGGAAACATTTTTACAGAATGGAAAAAGCAAAGGACTTCAAGCAAGAAGAAGCTGCTATATACACACAGTGCCTGCTCTGCATTTACTGATTTGTTTGTTCAGTTTAAATAGTAAACTTTTAACTCCTGTGGAAATTTTGCCAAGTTTCAATACATATAAGATTATAAATTTTAAACTAACACTGCACAGAGAGAGACAGAGCTACTTCTTTTTTAAATACAAATATCTTCTACATTCTATCATTTCAGACCCCTGAGTAATACTGTACCAAAGTACAGATCTGAAGAGAAACTGAGGGTTCAGGCCTCAAACGTTAATCTTCAATTAATTCCACACCAACGGTGTCTCATGTAACACATTCAGGCTAGCTAATGCTGAGAGCTTCCCCCTAACATACCGTAGTAGGAAACAATGCAAACTCCATGTTCGTTCTCCAAAGTATATCCTCCGCAGGCTCCGTGGGCAGACCATGTCTTAAGTAATTGCATAACTTCCTAGGGTGGAGTTAACCTGAATGTAAGGTCCTGAAATGGAACTGAAAGGGAGTAATGCCCCCAAAGACCTGGGTCACATTTGGGGTGTTCTTTGGAGAAGAGACAAATATGTTGCACTTTGCTCCACAGTGATTGTACTTTAAAGGAAAAAAACCCACCAAAATAATTGTTTCTGCGCCACCCCACCTAGGCATCCCTATGCTATTTTTGGTCTCTTCAAAAGCTCATACGTGACGTCCAGTAAGAAAGTAAAGGGGCTTGTCATCACTGCTGTTAGCAGTTTGAAACTCATCCCGGAGACGGAACTGCCACTCATCCTCTAGTTCTAAGCGGACAATTGTTTGGCGTAAGGAGCTTCTGTCTTGGCAGATGACACACAGGGTAGCACCTTTAGGAAAAAAAGCAAAAGTGCATTTTAGGCTCATTTTAGGAACTGAAATGATAAGGAACCTTACCACCTCTCTATGATATATCCTCTAAGCTAACACATCTGAGAGCCAACATATTAGGGAAGTAACCTATCAGAATTAATTTTATTATTTTGAATAAGTAGTATTACAGATTCAAAAGTCTGAAGGAGTGTAAAGTGAAAAATCTCCCAATTACACCTTCCCTTCCCCCTGTGGTAACCAATGTTAAAACCAATGCTTATAATGTTTCTCATGTGTCCCTCTCAAGTAGGGTTTCTCAACCTCAGTTCTGCAGAATTGGACTATTCTCTGTTGTGGGGCTGCTCTGTTCTTGTAGGATGTTTAGCAGCATCCTTGGCTTCTACCCACTACATTGCCAGCAGCAGCAGTGTGACAACCTAAACGTCTCCAGATATTGCCAAATGTCCCTGTAAGGCAGGTGTCGTGTCCCGCTCCAGATGGGTGTGTAAAACATTGTACACAGTATTCTGAACTTTACTTCTTTCACTGACCTCAGAGGTCATCTTGTCAGGATTATTCATGATGCCTAATCTACAGTTTGTTCTCAGGCAAATCTAACTTTGTATAGTGCATAACTGTCATGACTCATTAACCTGATTTTTATTAAAATTAGATTATATGGGAAGCATTACTTCTCTCCTTGCATTGGTTCCTTCCTAAAATTAATAGTGGCAAAAACATTTAATATCACAAATCTGGCGATTCATCCACATTTATTCTTAGTATATCAATGACTTGAGTCCTCAGTTTAAACTAAGATAATTCAATTTATTAGCAAAAAATGACTGCTAAAATGCTTTTTAAAATACATTTTTCACCTCTGTATTTTGTTCAGTGGGAACCAACAGCATTCACAAGCAAAATACTAAATTCGATTTACCTTTTAGAAACTTAAATTTCTTAAGAAGATCAGCACCTACAAAAGAGTCACAGAGGTACAAGAGGAGTCCACTGAAAAACACCCCTTCACAGTTGACATTGCTGGAGTGGGGTCTGGAGCTGATGTAGCATACAGCCACCTGGAATAATCAAGCAGAAGGAACATGGGTATTTCAGAAGTAAGCAAAGTGTCTGCACTAGCTGAATGAGTCAGTATCTTTTTTGCTATTTCAGGATAAGGTAAAGGGGATAAATTTTTCATTGAAACTTAAATGGGTTGGTTATTTAAGCTTTGCACCTCTTCTATTTAGTGTGTCAAGTTTTAACCTATTTAAAGCTTCTCTTATTTCTCATAATAAGGGACAGTTATGAAAGAGTTAATACTAAGAAACAAAATAAGCCCCTCCATCTAAGCATGTTTACAAAATAAAAAAGCCACCTTCCACAGAAAGGCATAATGAGGAAAGATTAAATGTTTAGATTACCTTATTAATGAGAATTAAAAAATTTAAAAAGCTTTTCATTTACATATACTTAAATTTTTCAATTGGATAGAAGCTTCAAACTGCAGAATTAAATTTTTATGTCTATATGGCTTCCATGTGTCGAAGATAACTTCACAAAAATTAAAGGTAAGTGACTGAGATAGTTGGGAGACCTTGAGAACGATGGAATGGCTTAAAGTGTGGGCCAGACTGCTTGGGTTCAAATACTGGTTCCTCTAGTAGCTATGTGACTGAGCAGTTTCCTTCATTTCACCAAACCTCATCTTCCTTCTCTGTAGAGATGATAGTAGTACCTGATTCATAGGACTATTTTGTGAATTAATATAAAAACAGTAAGTATTCGGTAAATGTTAGCTACTGTTAGGGGTAGTGGTATTGGGATTTTGTTGTCCAACACCTAGAGCCCTGGATCCTGGGATGGAGGAATTGGGAGACCTGGGCTAGGCACTAACTTACATAGATACCATTAAAGGCATTATTACATTTGATGTAATAATGTAAGGTTCCTTCTACTTTGAAAACTCTACAACTCACATCCAACCCACGGTGTAGACTGTGAGAATGTAAAATGTTTACACCATTAAATTTAAAAAATCAGTTTCCAAAATTGAATACAGTTAGATTTCAGTCTTTAAAGATTGTCAATACATGCAAAGAAAAAAGCCAAGAAGGAAATGTAGTATATCGAAATGTTATTCCCACTACAAGTGATTTCATTTTCTAATTTTTACCTTTTATATTCTTTACAAGGAGGATATACTATTGAATAAAATAGAATATTAAAATACTAATAATCCTAAGGTAAAGCTTAATGGCAGAAGCCTTTTAAGTCCTGAAAAGGCTAGCAGTGGTTAGAAGCTTGAAGGTACAAGTTGCAAATTTTAAAAAAACTAAAACTGATAGAGAAATTGAGACAGAGGAGAAAGAAGGAAAAATAAGGAAATCATGGAAAAGTAGTTCAGGAGTGGAAATGACAGCTATAAAGGGCTCTGTGATACCCTAAATTGTTCAGCAATCATTCAGCTCCTTTTAAATGCCTACAGCAGTGGCTGAGGCATAGTGGGCCTCTGACTTAGGGAGAAAGATCATCACATGATTAAAATACCATCTGATACATGTTGTGATAGGGAGAAGCAAGCAACTGTTTCTGCCCGGCTGAGGTAGGCTTCTCAACACAACTGACCTCTGAGCTAAACTTTGTTCACTTATTGTGGAGAGGTGAAATGGGTATGGGGAGGGATGATTACCATTGCACCTTGTGTGAGCCTTTGCATAAATGAATCTGTTACAGGCTCCTTTTTGTTTAAGCTTTCAAATGGGAGCTAAAATGGAAAATAAATGGATGGAAGCAGGTAAAGCACAGAACTAGCCCACTCCCACTTTACCTCCGGTCCAATGTTAAGGTAGCAGTCAACAGCTAACACGGGACTCTTGAAGTTACGGATGGCTTTGGGGAAGAGTTTGTATGAGGCGTGCTGCAGGAACTTCTCCAGGAGAAACTGGGCAGGGGCTGCCAGTAATGTGTGTTCACTGTCGGGAGCACAGACATACTGAAGGGGCAAGATGGGTGCTAAGCTCTCTGACACCTGAAATCAGAGCCGAGATTATCATGGGAAATGTGTCTGTCACTGGATGAAATAGGCAAGGAAACTGCACTGCATCCTAGCAGTCCCCAAATAATAGTACAATAGTGACAAACACTAGGCTCAACTGTATCCCTGTCCTCAGATTCTGAAATTTTTTTCACTTAGTACAGAACAGCACTATCATATCTAACATAATTTACACACAGCAAGAACAGGAGACAATGGAAAAGTAGGCTTCTTGGAAAAGTATTGCATTTAGCAAGTACATTGTGAGGATCAATAGGAAGCCTATTATAGTGCTTGGATGTGGATGGGATAAATCCCATCCCCTCACAACCGAGAGAAAAAAAGGCAAAGGTTTCTAAGCTCCACTAGGGAATCCATATGTTATAAATGATTAGATACCAGTAAATCTCTTAAACAGAAAAGGGTAGGCCTGTGGAATTCACACACTTAACAGGTTCTGCTGTTATTTTTTAAATCATTTTTTATTTTTCAATTACAGTTGACACAGTTTCAGACATACACCCCAGTGATTAGACACATAATTTACTAACTGATCATCCCGAAAAATCTTGTACCTATCTGACACCATACAGTTATTAGAATATTAACTATATTCCCTATGCTGTGTTTTACATCCCTATGACTATTCTGTAATAACTTATTTGTACTTCTTAATTTGCTCACCTTTTTCATCCACCCCCCCCTTCCCCTTCACATCTGGCAACCATGAAAATGTACTCTGTATCTATGAGTGTTTCTGTTCTTGTTCCTTTATTTTTTTAAAAAAATACATTGATTTCAGAGAGAGGAAGGGAGAGAGAGAGAAAGAGAAACATCAATGATGAGAGAGGAGTCATTGACTGGCTGCCTCCTGCACACCCAACTGGGGATTGAGCCTGCAACCTAGGCATGTGCCCTGGCTGGGAATTGAACCTCGATCTCCTGGATCCTAGGTTGATGCTGAAGCGCGGAGCTATGCCCAGCTGGACTATTTTGTTTTTTAAATTCAATGGTTGCTATGTACTTATTGCCATTTTATTCATGTTTTTTATCTTTTCCCTCTCCTTCTTAAAAAAGACCTTTTAACATTTCAGGTAATACTGGTTTATTGGCAACTCCTTTAGCTTTTTCTGCCTGGGAAGCTCTTCACATATATTGTCCTTAGATTCTAAATGACAGCTTTGCTGGGTAGAGTAATATTGGTTTGTAGGTCCTTGCTTTTAAATATTTCCTGCCACTGCCTTCTGGCCTGCAAAGTTTCTGTTGAGAAATCAGCTGACAGTCTTATGGGAGCTCCCTTGTAGATAACTGCTTTCTCTTGCTTTTCCTTTTGCATTTTAATTATGATGTATCTTGGTGTGGGCCTCTTTGGGTTCATTTTGTTTGGGACTCTGCTTCCTGGGTTTGTATGTCTCCTTCATCAGGTCAGGGAAGTTTTCCATCATTTTTAAAAATAGGTTTTCAACTGCTTGCGTACCCTTCTCCTTTTGGCACCCCCATGATACTACTGGTATGTTTGTTGTCCCAGAGGCTCCCTACACTTCCATTTTTTTGGGTCCTTTTTCCCTTTAGATGTTCTAATTGGGTGTTTTCTGCTTTCTTAACCTCCAAATCCCTGATTTGATCCTCTGCTTCATCTACTCCACTGTTGATTCCCTGTATCTTCATTTCAGTTAATGTATTCATTTCTGACTAGTTACTTTTCATGTTTTCTAGTTGTTTTTATGTTTCATATCTCTTTGTCAAAGTTCTCACTGAGATCATTGAGCATCCTTATAACCAGTGTTTTGAACTCTATCTAGTAAATTGTTTGTCTCCATTTGGTTTAGTTCTCTTTTTGGAGTTTTGTTCTGTTCTCTCATTTGGTACATGTTCCTTTGTCTTCTCATTTTGGCAGCCTCCCTGTGTTGGTTTGTGTGTATTAGGTAGAGCTGCTACGTCTCCCAGGATTTGTAGAGTGGCCTTACGCAGTAGATGTTCTATAGGGTCCGGTGGGACAGCATCCCTTATAACTCAAGCTAGGCACTCCAGGTATGACCCCATATGGGCTGTGTGCACCCTCCTGTTGTAGTTGAACCCTGATTGCTGTTAGCACATCAATGGGAGTGATTTACCCCCAGGCCAATCAGCTGCAAGGACTGGCTGTGATCACCAACCACCATGGAGGATCAGCTGTTTTGGGGCCCACCGCACAGAGCAGGACTTACTTCAGTGGGGCTCTGATACCCACTGAGTCCGCCCCTTGAAGTATTACTTGTGGAGATTGTTGGGTAGTGCTTCAATGTGGTCTGAAGCTGTCCACCCGCTGCGTTGGCTTTGGGGACTCCTGGGAGATGCAGCCAAAAACAGCCACTGCCTGTGTTCTGTCCAGTGCCACCCAGCATGAACTACAAAGCAATCTGCAGATGGCTGCTACTTGTGCTGGGCTTGAAGGTGCCCAAGCGAGACCAAGCTGTAAACCGAAACTGGCTGCTGCTAATGCCAGGCCTGGGGCCACTTAGTGAGAGGTATTGGGTGCACAAGCCAGACGCTGTTTGAGAGATTTTAGAAAAGTCTGAAGCATGAGCCAAGACAGGCCATTTGAATGAAAAGCCACTGGAAATGGCTTGGGTGGGCCTGCAAGTTGGATGGGGCGGGCTCTCGGAATTACCAGGCAAAAAACAATGTAAGCCAGGTTGATGGAGACAGATAGAGCACCTGCCTGCCAGCTGTGCGTGTGTGTGGGGATGTCTCATCAAAGGAAAAATGGCCTCTGCCAGCACTTTTGTCTGGCAGAAAGCTGCCCCCTGCCCCCCGCTCCTCCCTGCCCCAGCTCTCACCCTAATGCCATATAATTCACTTCCTTCCTGTATGTCCCTGCACCATTTTAGCTGCTGTCCCAGTGCTGGAGCTCAGAGTGAGTGAGACCTAGTAAGTCCATGTGCAGGCCCTTTGAGAGGAACTGCCTGGGATTCCAGCAGCTCTTAGTCTCACTCAGCCATGATTCCTGCTAGTTTTTACAACCAGAAGTTATGGGGACTTCTCTTCCTGGCACTGGAACCCTGGGTTGGGGGGCCTGGTGTGGTGCCAGGACCCCTTGCTCCTCAGGGGGAGAACCTCCATAGCTGAGATATCGCTCCCGATTTTTATCCACCACATGTGGGTGTAGGACCAGCCCATTGTCTCTGCCCCTCCTACCAGTCTGATGTGGCTTCTTCCTTAAATCCCTAGTTGTAGAACTTCCATTCCGCTAGATTTCTGGTGGATCTGAATGATGGTTGTTCTGTAGTTTAGTTACAGTTCTGATGTGGTTGTGAAAGGAGCCTATGCCACCATCTTGACTGGAAGTCTCTGGTCTGTTAGTTTCTTGACAAGCATCTTCATTTATATTTCTCATGTATTATATAAAGAATGTTAAAATGTTAACTTTGCCTATTTAAGAAGACAGAATGTTAAGTTGGAAGCTGAATCTTTGATGGAGTTGTTAAGCCTTAAATCTAAAGAGGTAATTTTGTTGAATTTTCAAATTTTATGTCTGGCTGCAGATGAGTCCT